TTTCTCTACTCTCTCTATTCTTTAGTCTCTTTCATTTCTCTACTCCTACTCTTACTTCTATTCTGTTCTATTCTATTCCTACTCTATTCTATTCTATTCTATTCCTACTCTATTCTATTCCTACTCTACTCTATTCTATTCCTACTCTATTCTATTCCTACTCTATTCTATTCCTATTCTATTCTATTCCTATTCTATTCTATTCCTATTCTATTCTATTCTATTCCTACTCTACTCTACTCTATTCTTACTCTACTCTACTCCACTCCATATTCTATTCTATTCCTACTCTACTCCATTCCATATTCTATTCTATTCCTACTCTACTCTACTCTACTCTACTCTACTCTACTCTACTCTACTCCATTCCATATTCTATTCTATTCTATTCTATTCCATTCCTCCTCTCCTCTCCTCTATTCTTGCATACAGAACTTAAAGATAAACTTGTTCAGTCTTTTTCTCCTGCTGATCCAAAATCTTCAAATCTCCAAGATAACTTTAGACCCCCCTGATCCGCATGTAAAAGACTGATCTTTTAAAAAAAAAGAGAAGAAAACCTCCCTTGAAGCACAGGAACTGCTACAGGACTCCGGTAGAAGAAAAAAGTTTAGAGGAAAAATCCTGAATCTTTTGTAGGTGGTTCCAACAGTTTGTGCTGACAAAAACCTACAGCTGAGTTGAAAAGGCGCCTACAGGTAGTGCTGGACTGATGACCTTAATGGAGCCCCAGATATCTATTGCTAAGCAAGATAAGCGAGTTTTGCACCATTTGATGACCTCTCTTGCCACAGTTGTTAAGCGAATCGCTGCAGTTAAATTTGCAACACGGTTGTTAAGTGAATCTGACTTCCCCATAACTTTGCTTATCAGAAGGCTGCAGAAGAGGATCACGAGACCTCTGGACCAAGCAACCGTCATAAATATGAGCCCGTTGCCAAGCATTTAAATTTTGATCACATGACCATGGGGATGCTGCCAGGGGTCGTAAGTGTGAAAAAAAACCCGATCATACGGCACATTTTTCAGTACTGTTGCATCTTCAAACTCTCACTAAACCAAAGATTAAAAGGTTGAGGACTGTTTTGAAATCGCATTCAGCTCAGCTGGTTTTGCTCTGAAAAGGCGTAGATTTGGGATTCTCCCAATGTCTCAACCTTCCTTACGGTGTTTTTTTTCTATCGCTTCTCTTTGGTGTGTGTTTGTGTGTGTGTGGCAGAAAAAAAATATTTGGCAGGATATTTCCACCATAAACTTTCACCTGAAAGAACCTCAAACTGAGCCAGACATTTCCTGGATCAGAGGTCAGAAGTTTTCCCTGGGTGGCCAAAAGTTCTAATTCAACAAATTTCCCTTTACAGGATGCCAGGAAAAGGTGAAAAGCCTCACATCTGCCAGAAACCTCTTGCCAGCCACCCATCTGGGCCACCAAAATGTGGCCCAGATGTGACCCAAATGTGGCCCAGATGGGTGGCCATAACTCACCATCAAAATGTGACTTACTTTAGCGAAGATGTATCCAACCTTTGCCACTTTTAAGAGTTGTGGACTTCAACTCCCAGAATTCCGCAGCCAGTAAATAAATAATATGGTGGCTCAGGGGCTAAGACGCTGAGCTTGTCGATCAGAAGGGTCGGCAGTTCAGCGGTTTGAATCCCTAGTGCCGTGTAACCGAGCAAGCTCCTGTTACTTGTCCCAGCTTCTGCCAACCTAGCAGTTCGAAAAATAGGAACCACCTTTGGTGGGAAGGCAACAGTGTTCCGTGCGCCTTCGGGGTTGTCATGCCGGCCACATGACCACGGAGACGTCTTCTGACAGCGCTGGCTCTTCAGCTTTGAAACGGAGATGAGCACCGCCCCCTGGAGTCAGGAANCCCTGAGATATTGGAACACTACTATTATGTCTTTTCACTAGACCAGACATACCCAAATCCTGCAACCATTCTCATATAAGTTTTAGTTTCCATTTTAATGGGTACTTCATAGAGCAATTACATGGACTAAAACTTTAATATCTTTCAAGAGCATTCACTCTATATCTAAATGCATGCTCTTATTCATGGGAGTTGATGTCCACAAGTCTTAGAAGTTCTCAAGTTTGGACACCCCTAACTTAGGCTATGTTGCAAGTCTTGGGTCAAATCAGATGACTTACAACGTTCCCGCCCCTCTTCTTCTCAAAACCTTGACCTTTGCATTTTTAACCAATTGATTTTCTAGAAAACAAAAGACTTACTTTTTTTGCACGAAGTACATTTGCAGTTTTTGCATTTGCACGATCCATTGCAGGAGCAGGAGCTGCCTGAAATGTTAAAACAGGGAAAGAACAAATGTCATTGCCTGAAAGAGAATAATCACAAACCACAACCATGATTCAAACCCTTTTTACTAGAAGCTCCTATACACTATTCCGTGCAGCTGCCTGAGACTAAGCGGGCAATGCATGCTGTAAACTAGAGTTTGTTTAGTTCTGGTTTTGGCGTGAGCGACCCCAGCCTTTGGAAGCCTGTAAAACCCATGGTTAAATCATGGCTTAATGAGGTCTGTTAAACCTTGGTTAAAGTGTGGCTTAACCTGAAGTTGTTCCCCCTCTCTGGGTAGACACATAATTTTAAGTTTGAAGAGTTTTTGGGTGCACTAGAAAAACTTCAGAGAGAAAAAAAATCTCCCAGATCCTGGTTTAAAATAACTAGGATGCCCATAAATTTCCTTTCCCTGGACTACCTGACTACATTTATTAAACTGCTACTCCACTACACTGAAATGGTGTTTAGTTTTTGCAGAAAGATTGTTTCTGAACCTTTTTACAGCCTTTTATGACAATCTAATTCCGAAACTTATTTTGCTTTAAGAGCTTTTGCAAACTCCCAACTTGTTAGGGATACTTTTCTCAAATGTCCAATTAAAAAAAAAATGCTTTCAGACACAGGATAAAACTTGGGAACATTTTCCTAAGTCTCCTCACAGCTGTTCTGAATGGGAAATTGGTTTTCCTACTACTAATTTATTATTAGGCTGTTGTTTTTTCCCCAAAATGGGGAAACTAAGAGTTGCCAGTCAATCTGCCTATTCTTGCCAATAGTTCCTTTGAAAAGAAGTAACTTGGTTTTCTTCCAATCTTACCCACAGGAGTTTCCATAGAAACCTGGTCTTGGATCCTTGGCATATAACTAGCAACCCCAAGAAGGAGCGAGCAGATTAAATTGTTCAATGCTACATTTTGATGTCAAATGAGCAAGTCTTAGTTGCTTAAGGCCCTGCCGAATTTTATCTGGCCTGGAAAGCTGGCCAAAAAAAAAAAAAGTTTATCTGAGAACAGAATTTTGGGAACTGTTTCTGTATCGGTAGATACCTTGTTTCTCTCTGTGCGTGNGACTAGCACCTATGTGCAAGGGGAACCTTTATCTTTACCTTTACTTTAGTAGTGGGCAACCAGCATGTTTAATTTTTAATAAGAGTGCACAACTCATTTAATTGAGTTAAAGAATTAGCTAAAGTTGTACAACAGGATAGGGTTTAGTTTTTAAATGTTTAAATGTCTGTCAATGCTGGTGACTGCCTGGACTGGTTCCTGCAGTTTTTATGCCAAGATTTCTGGAAGTGGTTGATCCTGGTTGTCTTCTACTTAAGCCCAAATGGGAGTGATTGTCTTATAATCATTCATCTGATTTCATGCCTGTGGGAGGATTAGAACTCGCTGTCTTCTACTTTCCAGACTAGTGGCTTAACCACTACACCAAACTGGCTTTCAAATTATGCACACGGCATCATTACAAAAAGATAAGCTTGGAAATGCGAATCCAGCATCATCGTAGAAGGTGGCTTTTTTTTCTTAACTTTTTACCTCACAGGATACTCAAAGTAGACCACCAGTTAGACCTGGTTGGAACCAATACATTTTCTTGAAAATTCAGAATCGAACCTTTTAAAAGGGAAATTTCCATGCTGGAAACTAAAATGGAATCTTTTCACACCTTTTCCCATGTAAACCTCTGGGCCCACGTATTCCTCACAGGGGTTTTTAGGAGACCCAATATGGAATTTAGAAAGGCAGCCTGCCTAAGGGAGAGAAGACTAAGATAAGATCTGGGCTTCAAGAGGTGTCTTGGGACCCATTCACTGTGATTGTCCTTCTGGTAATTTTGGCTTTCAATGGACATCCCTGACCTAAACAGGATCCATGGGGAGATGGAAGTCATCCTCCATCAAGTCAAACAAGTCAAGATGGTGGCAACAACTGCATTTGAGGCCTCTGTCAGGTGTGCCTCTGTTCAGAACCCAAGAAAGAAAAAAAACCCAACTCCATGTTTGTAGAGAAGAGGTACTTTTGCTTGAGTTTGAAAGGATAGCAAGAAAAGAAAAGCAGGATCTGAAGCAAAAGGCGCGAAAGTTACATGTTGAAAGTATCCCCAAATACCTCCCCCACCCAAGGACCCAGGCTGAATGTCCAATCCCCAACCCATACGGTGTCATGTAGGGCACATCTTCAAGTGTTTTCACCTATCTGGTATTCTGGGACGGTTGACCTTGCCTGGGTGTAAACAAGTCCATTCAGCTGCCACCAAATGAGAAGGAAGGACTCACTAGAGAAGAGCCTGATGCTGGGAAAGATGGAAGGCAAAAGGAGAAGGGGACAGCAGAAGATGAAATGGTTAGATAGTGTCATCAACACAAGGAATGTGAATTTGGGCAAACTCCGGGAGAAAGTGAAGGAGAGCTATGGTCCATGGGATTATGAAAAGCTGCATACGACTTAGCAATTGAAGAAGAAGAAGAAGAAAAAAGGAGAGGTAAAAACTCCCCAACTTCTCCATAGTCCTGAACTGCAGTTTGGAAATGATTAGTGTTACATTAGTGATAACTCTTCCAATGCATCCCCACGCAGAATTTTTATCCATGAAGGCAGCTAATCTAGAAGATAGAATAATTGGGTTGGAAGATACCGTATCTACCAATTCACAGCATTGCTGACTAGGAATAAAGCCAGTGGACACATTTTAGGTGTTGAAAATCATTTTATTTTTAAACAGGAGTTAGTACCTTGCAATTGGTTGCCAAAAAAAATTTCTGATAAGTAAGTATAATCTTTATTGTCATTGTACTTAAATACAACGAAATTGGTTGGTTATATGTGAAATATAGCCGTTAATAGAACTTCCATTTAAGAGCATATTCCTAACGGGAGCAGAGCATCTCATGCCTATCAGCGCCTCCTGCTGGTCCGTTGGCAAAGGCCAAGGCCAAAACACCGCAAACATTTCTTATATACATACATGGCTTTATTACTGTCTCAGCGTTGTTTTACTTTCACAACTAATGGGGAGAGCATGCAATAGCAAAAATAGGACCGAACATCAACATGACGTTTCTGCGGGCAAATATATGTTCAAGACTGCTGTAGCCAGCTTCTCTTTACTTGCAGCAGCTGCATTTGGTGGAAGGTTGGCCTTTGCAAATGCAGCCTTGGGCACACTTGGCACACCCCACTGGGCAACAGGAGCAGCAGCCTGAAAAAGAGAATGGGAAAATGTCAGCCTCAACCTTCAACACAGAGAATCCTGAAGCCGAGTGAAGCTCCCAAAAGATGCCCTGATTAATTTACGAGCCTCCAGACAAAGTTTGAAAGAAATACAGTCCTTTATTAGAAGCAACATTTTGGCATGTTCTTCTGCGGAGCCGAATCTGATTTCTGGTTAACAGTGTCTGACTTTTACCCCCGGTGTCTGACTTTTACCCCTGTGTCTTGCCTCCCCTCAGTCTGTGTCATAAATCATATCCACCAAATGAGGTGCTGCAGCGGGCTGTTTTGCGTGCCTCACACGCCTGCTGTAGAAATCTGAGATCCGACCCTGGTTGAAGGTATGCATGGAATTCTCCCTCCCTTTTCCCTGTCAACTTGATAATAGTCATGGAAATGTTTTACAAGTTGACAAGCTGAATGCTCAGTTGAATTTCTCGGAGGTTTGATGGACAAACGGATCGAAAAAACAAAATGGACCTTTGTTTTTATATGTGACAATAGCAGTGAGGCTTCTGTACGCACATAGGGATGGAAGAACATAGAATAATGGGGTTGGGAAGGACCTTGGAGGTCTTCTAGATGTAGGCCAACCTCCCGGTCAAGGAAGAGATCCTATACCTGGATTCTGGGCAAATGGCTCTACAATGTCTCCTTGGAAACTTCCAATGATGGGGCACCCACAACTTCTGAAGGCAACTTCTATTCCACTGGTTAATTGTTCCCACTATGAAGAAATTTCCTCCTTATTTCCAGGTTCAATCTCTCTTTAATGATCTTCCACTGATTACCTCTTGGCCTGTTCTCAGGTGCTTTGGCGCATAGGTTGACTCCCTCTTCTTTGGAACAGCCCCTCAAATATTGGAAGATTGCTATCATAATTCTTCTCTTTGTTAGACTAGACATATTTTTCATCATAGGCCCACAAGGGGAGAATGAATTGTGAAATGGGGTTGTTGGAGATGGCAAAATGTACTTCTTTGGTTAAAAGAAGGACTTCATCTAGCTTCATTTCTATTTGGGACCCACCACCCCCCGGGAGAGAGAGGCGGGGAGAGAGAGACAGAGACAGAGACAGAGAGGCAGAGAGAGAGAGACAGAGACTTGTTTGACACTGAAATGCAATTTTAACCCTGCTTTTTGATGATTAGATTTGTTCCTGGTGATAGAAGTGCTGTTTGCTGTGGTTTAATCTAGTTCAAACGGTTATTGAGTTTAAAATTTTTATCTCTATCAAAGAAAGTCAAATGTTATCTTTTCCTATAGCTTTTATACCTCTATAAGTTCTTTTTTTTTTAGCAGTATAGCTTTTAAAGCTGTAAGATTTAGCTCTACAGCATTTTTCCGTAAAGTTCCCCAATGTTGCTTCTTTCCTACTCTTTTCACTTTCTTTTTCATTTTTTCCCCTTAAAAGTATTTTATTCTTTTTTTGAAATTTAATAAAAATTCAGCATCCTATCCTACTGTAGCTCAAGTCATAAAAAGTCATCTGAACGAAGAGGTAGAGGTGCTGGAATCACAGACATTAAGCCCAAACAATATGTTGGAACTCACATTGTACAATTTAGGTTTAGTGGGCTGTGAACCTGAGTATCATGGTTAGTTAAAAAAAAAAAAAAAGACATGCCAGGGGTCCCCAAAAACACATCCCATAGACCAAAGATAAACCTTCAACACTTTCACAGGTCCCAGAATGAGTAGAGAAATACAAAAAAATAAAATAAAATAAAATTAGGGCTTTATGGAATAAACAGTGTGTCTTAATGTTTGCAAAAATGTTTTACGTTGTTTGATCCCTTAACCAACCTGAATATATCATCCCACTGGCATCTAACCCCATCTACTTTATGACTGTTGGCATGCCCTACAGAGCCCAGTGGTGATGGTAAACCTATGGCACATGTGCCAGAGGTGGCACACAGAGCCCCCTCTAGGGGGTATGCGTGCCATCGCCAGCTGCTCTTCTGGTGTGCGCATGAGCGCCAGACACCTGGTCCAGTGTGCATGTGCACTGGCCAGCTGCTCTCTTCTGCGTTCCAGGCAGGGGTGGGTTCCTGCCAGTTCTAACCTCTTCTATAGAAGAGGTTCCACAAATTTACAGGGCNATCCACATATTTAAAAGCAGGCTGGCTGGGGAATTCTGGGAATTGAAATCCATACATCTAAAAGCATGGTGGCTGGGGAATTCTGGGAGTTGGCATCCACATATCTAAAAGCAGGCTGGCTGGGGAATTCTGGGAATTGAAATGCACATATTTAAAAATGTGCTGGTTGGGGAATTCTGGGAGTTGACATCCACATATCTAAAAGCATGGTGGCTGGGGAATTCTGAGAATTGAAATGCACATATTTAAAAGCATGCTGAATGGGGAATTCTGGGAATTGAAACCCACATATCTAAAAGTGTGCTGGCTGGGGAATTCTGAGGGTTGAAGTCCACATATCTAAAAGCATGCTGCCTGGGGAATACTGGGAGTTGAAGTGCACACAATTTAATATTTCCAAGTTTGAAAGAATTGTGTTGACTTCCTAATGCTGCAAACCTCTCATATGATATTCTTTGTAGGACAGGAATGTCTGCAGACTATATAGTCAATAAAGTTAAGAAGAAGGCCACAATGGATTATATATCAAAATATAAGAGTTTTTGTTTTTAATGATTGTGGGGTGTTCCTAGCATGTTCAGATCCGAAATGTAGAAAAACAGATGGAGCTTTATTTAATTATACGACCATGGTCGCCATCTTGACTTATTTGGAAGACTGAATGCCACCTTTTCAAATATAAACGCCTCTGATAATTTGTATGAAATGTATATATAGATAGGCCTCCACTTATGACCAGTTGCTTAGCCACTGTTGAAAGTTCTAATGGACCTACCTCGGGGGTACTTAGAACCTAGATTCAAAGTCATGCGGCTATGTATTGTGACAGTTTTGACGTAAACCAGCATTCATTTCTGGTTTTTGGCAAAAAACACGGCCTCACCCAACCGTTGGTTGGCTTAACAACTGCAGCTGTTCCCTTAATGACTGCCACAATGGTTGTAAAAGCAGGTGGGTCACATGACCGACCTGTTTACAGCCTTCACGAGTTATGACTCTGATGAGGAGACTCCAATAGGGTCTTAATTGTAGTTAATGACCAGGGTGGGCGTGAGGGAGGGGTCAAGCAAGTCAGAAGTCTTGAGTCCCTTCCTACTCACAAGATATCTAAGTCCGACCCACCTTGAATTCCTATCCTAACTCCCGCTAATTTCCTTTGACCATTAGTAGTCCAGATTCTTGCAGAGAGCTTAAGCTTGCAATAAATCTTCATACAGGTAGCCCTCGACTTATTAGTGACCGTTTGACATTACAACAGCCCTGAAAAAAGTGACAGGACATATGACTTATGACAGTGATATGGCGAACCTTTTGGGCACCGAGTGCCCAAACCGGAATGTCTGTGCATGTGTGCCAGGGGTGGGTTCCTGCCAATTGTAACCACTTCTATAGAAGAGGTTCCACAAATCTACTGTGCCGTTTAGAACCGGTTCCAGCTCCCTCCCCCCCGCCCGTCTGCACCACGCTTGCCCCGCCCACCGCTCACTGATTGGCTGGCTCACCAATCACCCCGCCCGCCACTAAGAGTCCAATCTAAACCCTAAAGTCTTAAAGCTGTCAAGTTTGAACACCCCTGAGTTTTTTTTTCCCTAAAGGGTTAGGGGTGCAAGGGTCTTTTAACTTGACAGCTTTAAGACTTGCACACTTCAATGCCAGAGTTCCTGAGCCAACATGACTGGAGGAGGAATTCTGGGAGTTGAAGTCCACAAGTCTTAAAGCTGTCAAGTTTGAACACCCCTGAGTTTTTTTTTCCCTAAAGGGTTAGGGGTGCAAGGGTCTTTTAACTTGACAGCTTTAAGACTTGCACACTTCAATGCCAGAGTTCCTGAGCCAACATGACTGGAGGAGGAATTCTGGGAGTTGAAGTCCACAAGTCTTAAAGCTGTCAAGTTTGAACACCCCTGGGTTTTTTTTCCTAAAGGGTTAGGGGTGCAAGGGTCTTTTAACTTGACAGCTTTAAGACTTGCACACTTCAATGCCAGAGTTCCTGAGCCAACATGACTGGAGGAGGAATTCTGGGAGTTGAAGTCCACAAGTCTTAAAGCTGTCAAGTTTGAACACCCCTGGGGTTTTTTTTTCTAAAGGGTTAGTGGTGCAAGGGTCTTTTAACTTGACAGCTTTAAGACTTGCACACTTCAATGCCAGAGTTCCTGAGCCAACATGACTGGAGGAGGAATTCTGGGAGTTGAAGTCCACAAGTCTTAAAGCTGTCAAGTTTGAACACCCCTGGGTTTTTTTTCCTAAAGGGTTAGGGGTGCAAGGGTCTTGTAACTTGACAGCTTTAAGACTTGCACACTTCAATGCCAGAGTTCCTGAGCCAACATGACTGGAGGAGGAATTCTGGGAGTTGAAGTCCACAAGTCTTAAAGCTGTCAAGTTTGAACACCCCTTGGTTTTTTTTTCCCTAAAGGGTTAGGGGTGCAAGGGTCTTGTAACTTGACAGCTTTAAGACTTGCACACTTCTAACAGCCAGCCGTGTGCAGCAGCTGCCAAAAAAGCCAACACAGTTCTAGGCTGCCTAAACAGAGGGAAAGAATCAAGATAATGTGAAGTGTTAATACCACTTTATAATGCCTTGGTAAGCCCACACTTGGAATACGGCATTCAGTTTTGGTCATCACGATGTAGAAAAGATGTCTAGAAAGAGTGCAGAGAAGAGCAACAAGGATGATTAGGGGACTGGAGACTAAAACATATGAAGAACAGTTGCAGGAACTAGGGATGTCTAGTTTAATGAAAAGAAGGATTAGGGGAGACATGATAGCATGTTCCAATATCTCAAGGGCTGCCCCATGTAGAGCACGTTGCAGTAGTGAATGGTGTCTTGAATGGTGTGTAGACATTGTTTATCTCTATGTGCCCGTTGATGGCTGATTTGTCTGCCATGCTTCTAGGAATTCTCTAGTGTTTTGGGGCTTTTTATATTAGCAATCTATGATAATAAAGGACATTCCTGGAATCTCTGATGCTTTTGTTTCTTCACCTCTCTTACCTTGAAGGATTGACAATTGGAAAAATCCATAGGATCTGTGAAGAAATACTGATTTCGTTGGGGCTGAGATGGATTCTGGAAGACTGGATTGCCCAGTCAGGGCCCAGAAGATTCTGGTGATCCTATTTAAATCTGGTAGATCCAATTCCCCCCATTCCTTTGCATCTTGTAATATCTTATATTTAAATTGTTGCTTCCCCCCCCTTCCTCTACCAAACAAATTTAGATATATCCTCTATCATTGTTTAAATGGTGCATTAGCTGTCAAAGCAGGTACTGTTTGAAATAAAAATAACATTCTAGGTAAAGCATTCATCTTAATCACAGGAATTCTCTCCAGCGGTGACAATTGTATTTTATCCCATCTAACATACCCTTTTAAACTTCATTCCATGTCTTAGCATAGTTATTTTGAAATAACATGCAATTCATATTTGTCCTAGTAATACCCCAATATTTTAGCTGCTTCTCACTATTGAAACCTGTTTTATTCAACAGTTCTGTTCGTTCTGGTAGCTTCATGTTTTTTTTGTTAACATCTTTGTTTTCTGTTTCTTAAATCTGAAACCTAAAATTCTTTTAATTTATTGATTAAAAATCCAATTCCCTTTAAAGCAGGGGTGTCAAACTCAAGGGTGCTTAGAACTGGCCCATGGGGCTGCCCTGGAAGCTTTAAGGTGCTGGAAAAGGAAGGTTTTTTTTCTTTTTCTTACTGCANCCAACATTTTGGTTGCTAAGCAAGAGAGTTGTTAAGTGAGTTTCACCACATTTTACAAGTTGACCACTCCCACCCATCACATGGCTGGTAAGCCACTCCCACCTGGTTACATGACTGGCAAGCCACTCCCACCCAGTCACATGGCCAGCAAGTCACTTCCACAAAGCAGACCTACTTACAGAAGAGGTTCTAAAAAATTTTGAAACCCACCACTGGGTCACACGAAGACCAGTTGGCCGGCACGCATGTGCATGCCAACACCTGGAGGAGAGCAGCTGGCTGGCGTGCATGTGCGTGATGGAACAAGTAAGAGCAGCTGGCCACCGCCCGCATGTGCCCCAGCCAGCTGCTCTTTTCTGGGTTCTGGTGCACTCCAGTTTCGGCACTCCTTGCCGAAAAGGTTAACCATCCCTGGTTAACCTTTTACTCCAAGCCAAGAGTTGGTGCACAGGGAGCTACCTTACCTGTGGTTTACTCAAACCAAGTGGAAGCAAATCGTGGGATCACATGACATGGGGTTGCCCCATCCCGCTCAACAATTCTATTTCCCATCGTGTCCTGAACTAGCCCTCATTGTTTTAACTTCACTAAGTCAAGTCCAAATCTAACCGCCATGATTTTATGATGTGTTGGACTGGAGAGGCTTTAGCACAGCCTCCCCGTAGAAATTAAGTTGTACGTAATTATCTCTGCGTTGATTTTGAGCAATGCAGTTGCAGTTTAGCTGCAGGCTTGTAGGGTAATTGGAATTAATAGGGCTAAAGAACGGCACTTTGAATGCAGCTCCCTAAAGGTGTTTTGGTGCAGGTACACCTGTTTGCAAATCTTCGAAAGAAACCTTAAAAGATTGAAGGCGGATGTTTCATCTGTTCTGACTGTGCTCTCTAGTTCCCCTCTTTTAGAACTGGATCTAAAGCACCACAGAATCTTAATTATTAAGACATTCCTTCTTAATCCTTCCACATAATGTTTCTATCTTTCCTTACAGCAATGGTGATTTTTGGAGGGTCCCTCCAAAACAAGAGTATATTCTTGGCAGCTGCGTGGAGAAGCCCTTGGAGTATTCATGGCGAGTGGTTTGCCATTGCCTGCTTCCTAGGGCTGAGAGAAAGGGACTGGCCCAAGGTGAGACTAGAACTCACAGTCTCCTGGTTTCTAGCTTAACCAATCTGGCTCTCAGGAATGGGCTGCCTTCATAACTCCTCGAGGTATGACCATAATGAGACATTGTAACTCATGAGGTCCATAAATCAGGTCACCCATGTGACTGATCCAATTTTATTGTGCTTTTTTTTTGCAGTTGTCATTAAGCAAATGCTGCAATCATAACACGGTTACAAGTCAAAGACTACCTGTAATTTTGGGAGCAAATATTTTAAATTCTGGCGAGCATGCTTACTAACCATTTTATGTGCTGGTCCTGAGAAATATTACCTCTATTATATGGACCAGAGTCCCCAAATCTGACAATGTTAAGACTTGTGGACTTCAACTCCCAGAATTTCCCAACCAGCTGTTTTCCATGTATTGGATCCTGTCTGTTCACAGGACATTTAATCAGGGAGAAAACAATGCCCACATTTGTGCCATGTGCTAAGTGTGGCATTAACCTTAGTTAAATATTTAGCAGTACAGACCACATACTCCATTGGGTTAATTTATGATTCATCCCATCCTGCTCTCTCCAAAGCAGTTTAATACAGCAATTAAATTAAGCAGCATAATTTAATAACCAGCAATAAAAAATTGAGAGTTTGCCCTTTAAAAAAAAAAGGAACAGGTTGTTGGGAATTTGGGGGTTTGCGTTAGACAACTTTGGAAGATAAGTCAGGCAAAAAGTCTTATATGAGGATGAAACGATCAAAAGTGCTTTTTCCCAAAAGCAACTGGACTTCCTTGGTTTTTTTCCCTTGAAAACATTTTACTTCTCATCCAAGAAGCTTCCACAGTTCTAATTCATTTCTCAATAGACTAGTTGGTTAAAACTGAAGAAGCTTCTTGGATGAGAAGCAAAACATTTTCAGTGGAAAAACCCAAGTAACTCCAGCTGACCTGGAGCAGAGGTCCCCAAATTTGGCAACTTTAAGACTTCTGAAGTCCACAAGTTTTAAAGTTGCCAAGTTTGGGGACTCCTGACCTGGATAATTGAGAATCTCCATAGATAAAATGATCATACCCATTTTTGATAGCCTCACATCTTGTTTGAACGGTTTGGTGCCCCATACAACGTAGATTGGGTTAACTGAATAAACGATTGTTAGTGGGAGCACACTGGCAAGGATGTTGTATGACTGCAACTCCATGCACACTTTTTAAGAAAGACACAACCGCAACTTGAAAGGAGAGAAGGTGAAACATTTAGGAAGCAAATGACAGTACTCACTTTTCCTGCAGGATTTGCATTTACAATTTTTACACTGACAGTTGTTGCCACAGGAGCACACCCCACCTGCAAAACAAAAACAAGACACACAATTACCTTTGGAACACAAACAAGACAAAAGTTCACTTTCAACATAAACCCGCAAGGACTCCGGGATGCTCTGGGATGCGTTCTAACCTTGGCAAGCAATCTCTCCAAGTCAACCTAAGAAGGAATTGTGTGTGTGTGTGTGTTAAGGGGAGACCGCTCCTTCACCCAAGCAAGGATGCCCATGGCAACTCACAACCCCAGAGCTTGCCCTTGGCTACTGGGTCCCAAAGTCTGAAAAGAGGCGGAGGAAGCAGAGAAGGGATTTTCTTGGTGGGTCCCACAGCTAAGAGCCCCCAGGAAAGCTACCAGCCGCTGAGCTCCCCCATCGAGATGCATCTTGAACATGAGAACACAACCCTGGGAAGGAAAGCAGGTGACCCCCAAAAGCAGAGCCCAGGTCAGTTTCTCTTTCTCTCTCCTACTGTTTTTCTTTCTTTCTTTCTTTCTTTCTTTCTTTCTTTCTTTCTTTCTTTCTTTCTTTCTTTCTTTCT